TAGATTTCTAATCTATGGATCACATTTTCAATCAAAACAAATCTTATATTTATGATCCCAAGCAATTGAATGAAATGCTTCTCGTAAGGAGAAAACAGTTGAGTCTTCGGAAAGCATTCAACTATGAAGTAAAAATTTGTCTTTCGTAAAGTTCTTCTGGATATGGATGTGAAAAATAACCAGTTCTTTACACCGTAATCTCGACTCTAACTTCAGATCAAATTCATAGATTAATACAAACTTTTTCTCACCAAGAAATTTCATCTTCGCTAAAGGAGAGAGCAAAACGCAAAATTATCTTTTTAACAGAAGTTCGCTGGTTCAAGTATATGCGATCAATAATGAGAATAGAGAACTATAATTGCAAATAGGAAGAAATGGTACGTCCCTATTGTAGCATCTCTTCTCCTTTGCTAACATGAGAAAACTTAAACAAAACACAATACCACATCCGATAAAAACTATTCTACAACAAAGTACTGTTTGGGAATGGATAATGGATTGCTATTCATCAAAAATGACAAGACAAATGTAAGTCTATTTAGAAAATTTTAGCATGATAAATGTTCGAAAATCAATCTTTTAAACAAAAATACGTGATGACACCCATGATCCAACACAAAGACGAATTGAAAGAAGAAAATTTGCATATACTGATCACTTGGTGCTGCCTGACAACACTGTTTTGTAGTTCATGAAAACCAACGATTCTGGAAAAAAGATTTCAGAAACGATTTTATCGTCCATTCTTACTCAGTTGGATTGCATATTTCAATGGGTTAAAATCAATTAAATATCTTCTGTACATTTTCAATTCTTGCTCAATGGTTTATACGTTCTTTATTTACGTTTTCTCATGTTATTAAAGGAGAGAAATACCGCAATACTGGCGTATCATTTCTTCTCCTTTACAGTATCCTTCTCACTACTTGTTAGAAATGAGAATAATATTATTTAAAAATCTGTGATGTAGAATTTTCTTGCAAACATTTTTCTAATATATCAGTTGGGTGATTTTCGAATGAAATAGACTCAGTTTTTAATGGAGTTTCCCGAATGCTGAATTGAAACCATGATGGGTAAAATCAGTAGAGTAGCAAATAGCATTAACAGCGCGTTTCTTTTACAGTAAAAAGTTTTCTGTTCGTTATTTTAGAGTTGAGCAAGTCAAGTCAATAATGCCTTAAGTCCATGTCAAGTCAACTTGACTTGACTTGAGAGACTTTTTTTCGTAACCGTGACTGGACTTGAAAAAACTGTCAAGTCAGGTCTAGTAAGAGATTTTCGTTTAAACCAGGCATTTTTTTTACCATAAAACAGTTTCTAAAACTATAAAAACTATCTCTCACTCAAAAGGCGCTAGTAAATTTTTTGTTTTGCCTAATTTTTAACCAGACTTGACTTGGAAGAAAAAATTTCGAGGGATGACTTGACTGACAAAACCTCTGACTTGACCAACTCTGCATTATTTCTTTTTCACAAACATGACCGTCTAATTTTATTTTTTTCCTTGCAGATGCAATCTATTTTTGGTCAAAGTTTGGTCAATCCAAACATATTAGATACTTAAACAAACATTATTTTTATTTTTTAATGGTACAATGTGTTCACTGGATAATGACGTAAGATTAAATAAGTGTTAAATTATTTTTTTTGTTATTCTTGATCAAATTAAGCATAGTTGTTCACTCCAATTTTTCTATGATTATCATACATGGTTAGATTTCTTTTTCAATGTTAGAAAAAATGATGCTATCAAAGGTTGTGAAAAAGGTAACCACTCCGTTCAGTATATTCTTCCATACCTTTTATAAATTGAATACAGCTGAAAAAGTGTTGTGGAGAGTTTAGAGACGTCTCATTTTGTCGAAAAATGTTTACTCTACTCGACTGAGTTATTTACAAAATCATTCGTTTTCGATCGAATCATGGGACTCAGTTTCCAGGATTTGGGTTTTTCAGAAACCCTCATTTCAGAAATTTTTGTATGCACCATACCAGAGTGGAAATTCTTTCAGCTATTTAAATCTTTTTCACATTTGTTTTAGCGATTATAGATGAGGAGAAAAAATCAAAAACAAATCGTTTCTATCATTTTGCACAGGACTGTATGTTCAGGTCCTTTTTATTCAGAAGAAAAACGTTCTTTCTTCGTCCTCTTCTGAAATCTTAGTAGTAAGCGGTCAAAAACCCGGTCATTATTCATTGTTCGGTGATGGATCAATAGCCAATTTCAGACGATTGTTTTTACATGACAACTTAGCATAATCTGATTCATTGTTAACATAAAAAAGGAACGGTATCCGATAAGATCTCTAAAAAACCATCTCAAAAATCAATTATTGTTTTGATTGTTTAAAAATTGTTACTGAAATTTTCGATTAGATTAATTATTTAGTGGATTTATGGAATGATTGTTGATCTCTATCGTAAAGTATATCTGAGTGGCTCTAGTAATTCTGGTTTGCATTTCGAAACTTATCTCAATATTTCATTTCGCTTAGACGAGATATTACTTCAAAACATGATGCTGTTTTAGTAGTATATATAATTGTTACACGACTTTACAATCTGATATATCCTCCTGGAAAGAATAAGTTTCAGTCATGTTTTTAAATAGAAACTATTCGCAAATCACCCAGTCATGCTGTAGAGAGAATTTGGCCAAAATAAGCATCGACAGCAGCGATATATCAACTGAGTTTTGCACAGGAAATGGTCGTTATAGTCTAAGTACTTTTAAGTTTATTATGAATATACAAATACATTTTAGAAAAATATATTGGCCAAAATAAATATAGTGGCCAAAATTGGTCGCAAATTCCGACTCTTCATAGTCGGTTACCTTGTACGCGACAAGTTTTGAGTTAGAGTACTCCAGAAAAATATTTATCCATTGATTTGCAAAAGAAAAGTTCCTGGAGGGAACCAAGGGCTGAATGAGACTGAGAAATGTTTCTTCAGTACGTCTATTCAAAACTTGTTGCGTACAACGTAACCGACTATGCAGAGTCCGAATCTGGAATCAGTTTTAGCCAAACATGCTTTTAAAATTTCGCGACTGAATTGATATGTATCTCTCGGTAATAATGTATTTGTTTTTCATTTGGAAGACCATGTCAAACGGTACAAGAAGAAATAACGAGTGTCCCAGAAACAATGGCGCATTTGTATTTCGCGAATATCTCGTTCAGCTTTGACCATGAAGAGATCAGGTTAGAGTTAAAACATATCCCGTTGAATTCTCTACAAGGTCTATATCAAACGTTTTTCTGTACAAAGTTAAGCAAAAATATGAAAACAAGAATACTCAACACATTCAAAAGGACCAACTTTCTAAGCTGAAAAATCGATTTTTTTGTTGGTTATAGTGACGACAAAAATAAAATACTATAGGCATTCTGTAGCCCCTGAAAATCTTCATCGATCGATCTTAATTTGAAATTTTCATGTTCATCTTTGCGACGTACACCAATAATCTTCTTTTTCAAATTTTCGAGAAATTAACTGTTTCACTCAGCGATTTCGGAGCTCCTGGAAAAAGAGGCATAACTAAGCCAAAATATCAAGCATCTTTTGAGTTCAGGTTTTCTTTATTTTGATGGAAAATGACTACTGTACCAGATTCAGAGGCGAAAAGTGCGCTAAAATATCATATTTAGCGGATATAATATCTAGCGGAAAATATCATATTTGGACCATTTTGAGTAGGATTTTGAAAAGTTAGAATTTCTGGTCTTCAACTTGATTACAACTAATTGTGAGCCACACGGTGAAAACTCAAAAACATCTTCATTACTGTTTTTTGTTTTCGAAATTCTAAAAAAGATTCTGAACATTATTTTAAAAGTGGCTTGGAAAGTTTGTCCTTTTAAACGTGTTGAATATTCTTCTTTTCATATTTCTGCTCCGCTTTGTACAGAAAAACGTTTGATATAAGTCTTGTAGAGAATTCAACGGGGTATCTTTTAACTCTAACCTGATCTCTCCACGGTCAAAGCTGAGCGAGAAATTCACGAAATACACGTACGCCATTATTTCTAGGACACTCACTACAAATATTTGGGACTGAATATTAAAAAAAGACTCAGCAAATTTCTAAATTTAAGCATATCAAGAATATCTGGTAAAAAATGCAGATAAACAGGATGAGTAGGTATGTTTGTTTAGTCTTTTTCTGATTGGAATTGAATATTTTCTGAACATATTGAATATGAATGTGTAGATTGTTGTCAACATCTTCATATTATAGAAAAATATTTGACGTTGTATGTATGTGATCAGATTTTCAGACTTGTGCAATTGCTGGAAATGTGATAGGTGAGATGCGTTAACAATATATTTTGCTAGCAAATAATTTCGAATCCAGGTTGGGAAAGTAGAGGCAAATAGGACGTTTCAGACACTATCAGAATATATAATTATTATTCTAAATTGTATTTGTATACTCAAAATAAACTCAAAAACACAACTGAAACGTTTTCTTTCAAGAGGGATATATGCAAGTTCTAACAGATCAGTTTGAATTTGAATCTCAATTGTATACGCCTTTCTTGATGTTGTAATGTTTGTATGATACCTAGTTAAATGCAGTTTTATTTGCTAACGAGGGAAGATCCCCAGGTGTTTCCCTGGGATTTCAAAGCAATGTACCCCACTTTGCTAATTTAAGGATGCTGATTACGAATCTGAAAACCATTCATGCTCTCGTCCAATCCTTCAAGAGTTATAAGCATTTTATTTTAATAGTAGCGAAAAGTACCATATTTTGAAAAAATCACAACTTTTCATAGAAATGTTCAATAGAGCTGAGAGATATGCCATTCTACAGATAAACACCTTAGCTATAAAATGATATGTGTTTTAGCTTCAGAGAACGTTTGATTGTTAAGTTAAAAAAATTTTAAAATGTTGCACATTTTCACTTGTTTTATGTTTCTTTTTGAAAATGTTTAGAAAAATTTGCCATATATTACCACAAGATTTCATTCCGTTGCATCATGGCAGTCGTGGTGACAACCAAGCTAAAACACATATCATTTTATAGTTAAGGTGTTTATCTGTAGAATGGCATATCTCTCAGCTCTATTGAACATTTCTATGAAAAGTTGTGATTTTTTCAAAATATGGTGCTTTTCGCTAATATTAAAATAAAATGCTTATAACTCTTCGAAGATTGAACGAGAGCATGAATGTTTTTCAGATTCATAATCAGCATCCTTAAATTAGCAAAGTGGGATACATTGCTTTGAAATCCCAGGGAAACACCTGGGAACCTTCCCTCGTAAGTACGAATTTACCATTAATTAAATGATGCTTTTCTTCATAAACCATTCATTTCAAAAGTGCATGAATTAGAATAATTAAAAGATTTAAAATATTATTTAAGATTTGAGTGGAAATATAAATTTATCCTCAAGTCGCTTGATTAGTCACTACATTGAAGGTGGAACTGAACAGAGTAATATGTCATTTTCGAATTAATATATCGTTGTAAAGATTATTATTTTTACTAAATCATTTACAAGGACAACTTTCAGATCCGCTTTATTGTTCCTGGATCTTCAATTTTGCTATATGATGAAATGTTGTTAGAATATTTTCAGACCTCTCTCTCCATTCTGTCTTGTATATAACATACTCATCATAATACAAAGTTTCATTTTTCTTAATTCAGAATATTTTACTGGCACCTGAATCACCTTCTTCTGATCCTGCACAATCTGATCGTGTTAAACGTCCAATGAATGCATTCCTCGTTTGGTCTAAATATGTCAGAAAGGAACATTCTCAAAAACTAATTTATAATCAAACAATTGATCATGCACAATTAAGCAAAGAATTGGGATCGAAATGGAAGTAAGACACTGTCAATGGATAAAATTTCATAAATAAGCATTGAGAAAAAGAAAAAAACATGTGCATCGAACAGGAATTAAATATGAGTGACATTGGTTTTGTTAGTTACAATTAGATAATCTCACTTTCATATAACTTCAGTGTTTTTATTCTTACTATGTTATGTTTAGAACAATGCCCAAAGAAGAAAAACAACCGTTTTATGATATAGCTGAACATTTACGTGCACAACACAAACTGGATTATCCAAATTATCGATATCAACCAAAAAGGATAAAAAAATGCGGTAAGAGATCAACAAACGTCGTCAGATATACGAAGCGCAGTTAGAGGTGAAGCGTACCTACCGAGAATCAAATTTTTCATTTATTGAGTAAGAACTTGAATCTTGTCATAAATTATCATTCCGTTTAAATCTATTTGAAATAGAAATTGTATTTCTTTACTCTTTTAGCTCGTACACATCCGTATGATGCAGAACAATCATCTGTTCTTTTACCACCGGTTCAAACTCAACCACCATCACATCCCTATTTTCAAGTCTATCCAGTTAGTTTACAAGATTATTCGTCACCAGAATTATCAACGTTAGAACAACGATTAAAAGATAGTTTACAATCAATAAATCAATCAATAATTCCTTATATTCAAAATTGTAAGTTATTTTATTACTAAAATCATAGATACATCAAATTATAATTATTATAAATATTTTAGATCCAATTATTATTGCACCAAATTTAGAGGCATCAATATCAACACCATCCGCACAAAAAATAGTACTTCATCGTCCATCATCTCCTCGACTAACACGTATTCAAATAATTCGAAATCAAGATCGTCTTGTACAACAACAACAACAATCTCAAAATTGTGTAGGAATCGATCAAACATATAATTTATATGGAAATGAACTTGTGCCTATTTCACCAGTCGATAATTCTAATTTTGTATATAATGAGTCATCGATACAATTGTCACCACCAGTATCAAATTATCCACCAACACCTTGTTCAACTGGTCAATTTTCACCTTATGTTGAACAAAAACCTGATTTTTTAACTTCAAACAATAATATTTATGATAACTTAGCAAATGGTAAGTGAGAGATAAAACTAATGTTTATCTAATCAAAAGATAATTAATTTTTCGAATATTTTTAGTTTTAGATTGGCCACCAATGGCTGGAACAGAAATTACTCCAACATGGTTGTCAAATGATGATTATTCTTATAATACGCCATTGAGTGGACAAGAAGATCAAGAGGACTATTTATCATTTCTCAATTTATGAGCTAACAATTGAAGAAAATCTATTTTTTTTTCATTTTGTTTTCTGTGATTATTTTTATTTTTGTGTATATCGATTATAACCTAGAATTTTTTTCTTTTTACTTTTTGTCATTTCGTCGCTAGACCAATGACAAATTTATTGGAGAGGAAGATGAGAGTCAGCGAATGTCCACTTGTAAAAATGAGAAGCTTTCGCACACACATCATCAATAGTAATTCTGTGTACGTATTTTGTTTTCCTTCTTTCTTTTTCTTCTTTGCTGCATGAACAATATCGATTTATTAAAAAAATTTTTTTTTTCTTTTATTGTAAATGAAACAAAATTAGTTTTGTATACGTGAATGAGAATGATTGGCGGAGATTGACAGAGAGAGAGAAAAAAGCAAATAAAACTTTTATTTTATACTAGATAACAGACATCTATGATTTATTATCTATTCCAGCAAGGTATTTTTGTATCCAGGATCTTGGATAATTCAGTTAAGATATTTCAAGGTATTGATACATCCTCTAGATAAAACTTATTGTAATTCTATATTCTGAACAATATGATCTAATAACATTTGCCTTTTACCAGAATGTTACAAAATCTCTATTAGTATATATTTGTCCAAGAGATAAATATCAAGAGTTTAACTGCTCTTTGTTTTTGAGTTGATCAAAAGTATTTTATACAGTCAAGTACATTCAATTTTTCTTGCTCTATATTTGAAATCATCATTGGTTTTCTGCCCTAGGACAGATTTCGGACATATAATTTCTCCAATATAATCGATCTTGAGCATATTCTTTCATCACTTTGTAGGCATTTATGTCTCCTTCTTTCAAATCATCAAGCATCATTTTTCTTTTTCTTCCTTGTGGCCGCTTTCCTTCGATTCTACCTTCCCTATTGGTTACATCCAATAAAAGACCATTTCCTCTTAGAATGTGACCAATCCACATTATCTTTCTTTTTATCACTCCTAGCAATTTCCTCTTTTCTCCCACCTGTACCAGAATTTGATCATTCGTTCTCTTATCTTTCCAACTTATCTTTTCCATTTTTCTCCATATCCACATCTCAAAAGCTTGCAATCGTTTCATCTCGTCTGACATTATCGTCCAAGTCTCAGAGCCATAAAGTGTTACACTCCACACCACCGCTTTAATAATCTTTTTCTTCAACTTTCTGTCCATTCTTCGCGTGAGTAGTTCTCAACGTTTATTGAAAGTATCTTTTGCCGTTGCAATCCTTGCTCTTATCTCAGCAGCACATCTTCCATCTTCAGTAATTAAGGCTCCCAGATATCTGAATTTTGTCACTTGCTCTACTGTTTGTCCATTAATAATAATGTTAACCAATTTACCACCTTGTCTTGAAATTACCATCGTTTTCGTCTTCTTAACATTAATCTTCATGTCAAACTTCTCACTAGATTTAACAAGTGAGTCCATCGACTTCTACAAATCTTCAATCATCCAAGCCGTATTCCAAGCATCTCTCGTAGAGCATTCGCATGACGCCGATTGCCTCTTTCGTTCCGTATCCTCTTCTGAAACCAAACTGTGTTTTATCAATGAAATATTGTGTTTTGGCTTCCAATCTTTTTGCCAGCACTTTCAGCATTATCTTCGAAGCATGCGGAATCAGACTAAGCGTTCTGTGATCAGCACATTCTGTTGCATTTGGCTTTTTCTCCATCGTGACAATTATTGCTTTGGTGAAATCTCTTGGCCATTCTCCTTTTTCATACATATCCTGACATATTCGTATCAATTCCTTTTTAGCACTATCTTCAAGTTTCTTCAACAGCTCTGTCGGTATTTCATCAATTCCTTCTGCTTTCTTGTCTTTCATTTGTCTTATCGCTGCTTCAATTTCGTCTTCCAGAATTCCAGGGCCTACGTTATCTACTTCCACATCCATTTCGCTTTCTAAATCTATCTCTTCCTCCGTGGGCTTACCATCTTTGTCGTACAGCTCTTCAATATACTCTTTCCATCTTTGTCTCACTAACTTCGGATCTGCTAGTAGCGTGCCATCTTTATTCTTTATCGTATGAATATTACTTTGGGCTTTCTTGCTACCTGTCAGCTTCTTCCCCATCGAATATACTAAGTCTGCTTTGCCCTGTTTGTTAAGCAACTCAAGTTCATTGCACTTCCTTTTCCACCAATCCTTACTTGCCTTGTCAGTAATCCTCCGGAGCTCATTATTCAATTTTCGATACATTTTTCTTCCATCTTCAGTATTAATACCTTTCCATTTCCTTCTCTCTTCCATTTTTCCATGGGTTGAGAACCATTGAAAGGAATTTTTTTCCATTGAGATACGAAAGAGGGAATATTTTTTCCGAAAAGAATTTCTGAGTGTTAGTATAAACTCTAAATACGCTAAGTACAAAAAAGAGCTCGCATACAGAAATGTACATCGCAATCGTCGAGAGCGGAGAAAAAGTTCTAGAATTTTCAGAATAAGAATACATTATTTTCTTTAATTTTTTGTGCAGCGTAGAATGTGCAAGTTTACTCATAACCTATATGAGGTAAGCTTTTTGATTCATTTTGTGGATGTGTTATTGCATAGTGAAATGAGGTAATTGATGTTATATTTATCTACAAAATTAAAAGAGTAATTTTCTCTTGTGATGAATAAAGAAGTTAGAATCTCTGCATAAAAAAATCCAGCCTTAATTTTAAAATTTTTTGGAAGATTCAACGCTTCGATAAGAAACTTTTACTTACCTTCACCCATGTGGAAAAACTCATTCAACGATGTCGAAAGAGTTTTATCGGTATACTTGTCTACGGACATAAGCAAAACATATGTTTATCGTTCGTTCATATATCGACGTTTTATCTTAGAAAATCTTTAGACCGTTCATTTTATGTAAAACATACAAGTTTAGAACCTCGTTTCAACAACACTGAAGTTGAATTTTGAGTATACATCGAATCATTGGAATTTTCTTATACAAATCTTCAATATCTGAGTTTTAAATATGCATAAAATTGTTTGTTTTCTTATGCGAAAACGTTGTCTACTGAGATGTATAGTGTATGTCCTTCACATTATTTTACGATCTTTCCAGTTGTCGTCCTCTTTCGCTTAATAAATGAATGGTTTGTCTTATTTGCTAGATCACTATGATTATCAGCATGAATTTATATTGACTATCACGTTCTAGACCTAATTATTAGTTACAGCGTATTTATCTGTTGCAGTCAAAATTCAAATGTAGCTGAACCAGAACTCAAATTTGAGCGGACAAAACTGAGATCAGAATTTTGATTTCAATTTTATTTACAACATATATATGAAGATACGTTCTTTCGTCGGAATAAGTTTCCACTACTGGCTATTTTTATGCTTGTGATTTCAAATTCGTTTTGCTCAAGTGTTTATGATGGTGTCGACACAAGTAATTATAGAGCAAAAGAAAACATTGTCTATTTCAAAATCATGAGTGTTAGGTATAGTTTTTACATCCTTCCGCTGCTCTATAAGTAAGTGAATTCATGTTTACATTTTTTAAGGATTAACGCAGCCAATAAATATCATGTCTTAAAGATTTCTGCACGTACGCATTCATCAGAATTATTTGGAACTAGTCTTTTCATTATGTCAATAACAACAACAAATCAGTCTGGTAAGAATACTTGTTATTCAGTGTATGGCGGTTGTGTATGCTGATATGTTTGTGTTCTAATCAGAAGGTTACTATTTCTGCTGCCCAATAATTTAAGGTTTTGTATGAGAGTTAGTTTTCGAACCCATCGTTTATTGACTAAAACTAAAAGTAATGTTTGATAATAGCTATGCTGTTTATCAGGATTGACTAGAATTATTCTTTTTGTTCTATAGTTTAATTGAGTACTGCTTCTGTCATCTAAAACTTGCTTTGATTTTATTTAGATCAACAGCAAACAAATGTCGACGAAGCTTCTGAGCGCCGTTCTTTGCTCAGCAAAATGTGAGGTATTGGGAAAAAGACACCTCATAAAGTACGAGAATTAGTCGTGAACGAAGACCAATCCCAAACATGAGTACAACAGCAATCATCAGCGATCGAAATCAATTAAGTTTCTCCAACAAAAAATGTGATCAAAAGTGAAAGTAATGAAAATATTCTTGAATATTTGAGAATATTTGACATCCGATGGTTCAGATGTCTTTCCACAGACCAAAAACAATACAGTCGTCTGTTTTCAGTATTGGCTAGTACCTTTGAAATGTCTGTTTGAATGGATCAGAAGCTGATAAAAAGAACATCGTTGATTTGCTTGTGGTGTAAAATAGTGAAAATTTCTACAGTAATTATGTTATGTAGTTTCTTTGCTTCAGACGCCACCTAATCCAAGTTCGAGTTACTAAAAATTAATTCAACAGCATTCAATTAATTCAACCATCGATTCCTTCACCACCACCCTTACCTCCAAGTGCTATAACACATCGATTATTAACAGCAAAAATCCATCTAAATGAACAAACAATACCTGTTTCTAAACAACCAACCATTGCTCTTCCCTCTTCGGTAATGGTCAAAGTGAATCATAGTCAATATAATAAATTGAAAAAAGATAATAATCGACGTTCAGTATCGTCTTCTTCTACTTTTTTTTCGGCATCATCTAACGACTCCTCAAAATCTAGTCATCGATCGAACAGTAAAACATCCAAAGATAAAACAGTCTTCTTCAAAAAAATGACAAAACACTCGCTGAATCGCAGTTGTCAACTAGAATTTCTGTTAAATCATCAATAAAATCTTATAATAATCCAGATCTAATGGCAATCAGTGATGAAGAGAACAATGAAAAATCAACATCATCAATTGTTGTCAAAAAGGGGGCAAAACTATCAGCCATGATGAATGAGAAAAAGAGTAAAACGACATCGGCGTATGATGAAAAAAAGAAAAAACTGGAAAAGACAACAAAGGACGATAAATAGTCAAATAAAAAAGAAGAGTGAAGAAGTAGGACATTTTTTTTTTTAAAAGTTTATAAAGTAGAGAAACCCAAATATACGGTTAACCAAATATATTCTCATTTCCTGGTTCAAGCACGACTTTTCCATCACTGACAGAACGAAAAATATAATTTTAAATGTGTCGTCAGACTAATCTGTGCAGGTTACGCAAGAGTAGAGTACAATTTTCAATTTTCCCTTGTTGATCGCTGTTTTATTTGTCATATATTTCCCTTTATCCTTGTGTGAAAAAGACATGCAGTTCAGCTACAAACGACGTCAAAAATACTGTTTTTGATCCAAACCAAGAAAAAAAATCATATTAAAAACTCAGATAAAAGCGTCATCACAAACATTAAATAATGAATTAAGTATTAATGAGAATGAACGCCGTACAGATCAGAAAACTCGTCTTTTAATATCGTCCCTATCCATTCTTCAAGTCATATCATCACCGCCATACATAAAACATTCTAACCACCGATAATCATCGCCTCAATATGATCCCTCATCACCATTAACATCGCTTAAAGAACGGAGCAAAAATAGATTTGCTTTCACCGACTATGAAATTATTCATAAAAACTGTCAAACAAATCGCCTGATCAAGAAAAAGATATGACCCAGTTATACAATCTATCTCTCCTCATCCGTCGTATTTTCCTACATTGTACGTGCACACTCTCACTCTATCTATTGTTAGTGGTTTTTTTCTCTTTCCGTATGAGAGTGTGTCTGCTGTTGTTTATTCCAGTAATTTTTGTTTTTTATTTACACCAGTCCTTTATTATATAAAAAATACAAATTATTCACATTGAAGACAAGACAAAGAAACTGTAATCGATAAAAGATTTTTATCATATTGAAGCGAAAGTGAAATATATAAATTGTTAATTGTTACATGAACAGTATTTCATACTGAGTCCGATTGTCTGCTAGGATATTAAATAGAAACAAAACATCGGGGATACCGCTTATATGTCACACAGTGATTATTTCCTAACTCGAGAAAAGTTTTTTTCCAATCTCAGATCAATACAACAGAAAGTATACACGGTCATAATGACTTTTTTTAGGAAAAGAGGCTAATGATGAGATAAAATTTCATTTTAGTGGGAGTATCATATATGATACCAGTGGTCATCCTTTGAATAACTGTTGAACGAAAGTAGATGAAGACTCACGGTTTTCGCTGTTCGATAGCCAAGATTTAAGAACATGTTTTCGTAAACAGAAAATATTTAGAAACGTTTTTCAAAAACAGGTTTTCAGTGAGATCTCTGGAAAGCCGTTTTCTAACTGGAAAATTCGACATAGCAATATATTGTTTTTTTTCCATAAATAGGTAGACTGAAGTGTCCTCCATAAAACAGAGCCTAAGCGAGCGCTTCATCTCTCTTGGTTATGCAGGGGACGAGGTTTTTCGGAGAACCTGGGTAGAACGCAAAATAGGTAAAATACAACTTTTCCTTTTTTCACAATATATGACGACTGAATGCGTTCTACATAGGCATGCACCAGTTAAAAACTGGTGTTAGGGCTTCCATGAAAATTGTTATAAATCGGCTATAAAGAATTACTCCGAGTCACAGAATCTGTCATTTTATAGAGAGATGTCCGAACTACAATCCCATATAAGTATAAAAGGTTCAACGTTATAGTTTTCTTGCTCAGAAGTTTTTCACTTGTCACTGAGCTTTTTGAGGTTCTCCATAAGCTATCGATGCAGTTTTGGAAAATTGAGAGATTGAAGATTATCAAATATCACCATTGAACGACTAGCGGTTGGTCCTGCTTTAATTATCTCACAAAATTTTCCAAAACAGCTATCTACTGGCAAGCATAGACATCCTCGCAGTATACTTAAAATAGCAGTTGTACTCCATTGTGCTTGTTCTGATATCTTTCGCGCATTTCATCTGAAATTTTGAATGAAAAGCTTGCTCCCAACACCGTTTTGAAATATCGATGGTCTTTCATGACAAACGTGTAAATGAGATTATTGGTTTAGTTACGGCTGCACAGTGTTTTATTGCAGGGTGCGTTTCTCATGATCGCACGTCTTGGAAGGACGATCTTCGATTCAAACAACGTCGTACTGACCTACTCATTATTTCTAGAAACCGTTCAGAAAAATCTCTCATGGATTTCCAAAGTTACGCTAAGAGAAAGCTAGGGTATAGGCAGGGCAAGAACTTTTGCACTCCACTGTACACCGGTTGGAAATAGCTAGTATGTATACTCACGAGATTCAGAGCTAGTTGATAGGTACTGATCCTTTGAAATAATTTGTTTCCATCCAGACCATCTTGTATAACCATCTCTGGAGAATATCTGTAGCGGAGACTCGGCCATCAGTTCCATACACCGAAAGAATGAAAGGAGAGACCGATGAGATTAATGGCTGCACTACATGAAGACTGATGAACTGCGATCCGTAGAATTCCTCCATCCATGATCTGAGTTCACCGAAATCATCTGTCTGAAAGAAATTCGTTTGAGGTACCCCGTTCGCGAGAGGTGATGAAAAACCGATGAAAGAATTACACTGAGAATCATAACCAATTCGACTGATTGCATTAGTACAGTCTTCGCAAGAAAATGCATAATGACAATTTTTTGATCGTAAGTAATCTCCTATTAACTGGAATCGGAATTCATCTTCAATCATTTTCATTTCTTTTTGCCTAATGATTGATTCCAGATTCGACGAATGAGAGAAAGTCCCAGGTAAATTTAGCCTTAGAAACTCATAACAATTTCTCCCAGCAAGAATGAACATTGACAATGCGAATTGTTGTACCGAACTTTCATAGCTGTATCTATTCTTCGTTTTCTTTAAGTTTGAAAAAATATTCGTTATCAACGGTAGAAGGAGAGGCATTTCTGATTGACTTAACGGGTTTTTGCTTTTCATCCAACAATCAACTGATCGCTCCAAAACTTTATCTTTCTTGGTATCATCGAGCATGTCCTCATCTCGCTGGGTAGAGTCGTTTTTCGCTTTCACTAATAACAATAGTCGTTCAATTAAATTTCGAGAATATATATTTTATGAGATAGAGTTGGAAGTAGCGGTTTCTAGCATAGCTTTTAATACATTTTTTGAATGTCTTCAAGAATAACTAAGAAGTTGCGAAAAAAAAGAAACTTGTTTTTATTTATTCGATCACTTTTAGAGCAAACGTGTCATGTTGTTAGAAGAATTTGCATGAGAAATATTCAATTTGAAGAAACTTCATAACAACGAGTGATGCAAGAACATGGGACACGACAACATTTTTCGTTTGATTTGCATAAGCTGTCATCGTGGCACTCGATTCGTGTCCATGAAGGCGTACATGGGATATGTAGATGACATGATTTGAAGGGTGGCTTTGGACACTCGCCTAATATATGAAGGATGAAGAATGAAATGGTGTTCAAAACAGATTTACGAATAATCACTCACCCTCATGAACTTCGGCTGCTTTGAGTGACGCAATATAAGCAAGAGCTAGAATAAGAACGGCGATGAAAGTAAATGATCGCATCTTTTGATGTCACAGTGAAAAATATAGTGCCTAGTGCTAATATCAATCGAGTATATAAAGAAGTGCTGTGGGAAGAAACGACAGATGTTTTCGTGATTGATCAATAAGTGCACCAAGTCATTTCGGATAGCTCTGTTATATATTTAAACTCTGGTGATGGGCATTTAGTTGGCAGTGATGCTTTCTCATAATTCTGAGTGCCTCGAAAAATAACTTGATAATGTTATTACTTCTATTGCAAGGTACTGTACCGGGTGTGTAGAATTGAATGATACTAAATTATTGCTTTGTTACATTTCAAAGAAATACTGCACTCCGCTCGTCATAAAAACCTTTTAAGTAGGACCTTGATTTTGTTTTTGGAACCGAATAAACACGCTCGCCCACACTAAATGTGCTCGTTGCTCCCCTCGTTTCATTCTCCTGCTCTTTATCTTATTGTCATTAAAGAGCCCACATTTACTGTTTTCTCGCTTCCTTTCTTGGTATAGGCATGCTCATCGTTACTAACTGTTTCTTCCTCCTTACCGTTAGTATCGCTATCACAGTCACGGAGCCTTACCATGAATCACATCAAGAAAGTGTAATCTATAGTCTTCCAGCAAACAATCCCGTCAAGCAACCTTGAATTTGGCCTGAAAATTCCTGTCGTATTCGTTCACATTTCGACAGAGTATAGATCTAGTTGAGGGAAAACAAGCTGTCCACCGTAGCAGTGATATGGATCAATCGAAAAAACAAAAAGAGTTTTTAGAGATTTCCTCTGTGTTTTTGAGATCGGCAAGATATTTCAACACTGAATATCTAACCTTCTTTCATGATCAGAAAAGCCTCTTCATACGATATGAAATGTTTAAAGACGCAGCTGAAAAAGCATACAGACAATACAAGCACGTTTCACCCATTGAGATAAAATCGACGATCCACTGAGAAACAAGCAAAGGCTTCAAACCCTCACCCTCAGGGGAACGGAAAGGCAGTAGAAACGAATCTTTTGCAAGATTAGTTATTCGAAGCAGCAAGAAAATCACATGACCAGACATCATTTTCGTACGGTATCAGCTATGTAAACACGCAGCTAGTCAAACATAAAGAATATGAAGCACTTTTCACTCATCGAAATAAAATCAACGATCAACCAAGAGATGGCTGGAGATCTCAATACCGTATTCTAGACAGAGAGACGCAGTGAAGTTGAATGAGTCACAGCACTCGATATTCGAGCGAGCAAGAGCACAAAAGGCGCGAAGAGAGATTCCGCTTGACCTGACGGAATAAAAATCGTCACTCTCAATCAACCGGCAACCGATTCCACTATGGTTTGAAAAACGGGTTACAGACAGACAAAAGCTTTCTTTACCGTCTGCAAGACTCTATCCTTTCAGTCTAGAGAAAACTTTATTGGATGGTGGACTTTATCCATATGGTGGATATGGTTATACGGGTCCTCAAAATAGTACTGAATTATATGATCCATCGGCTCGTGCTTGGATATCGACGGGAAACATGAATGCTGCGCTAGGTTATCACACAGTGTCGACATTACCAAATGGACAAGTATTAGTTGCTGGTGGTCAGAGTCACGAGACGTAATACCTCAACAGTGCTGAATTGTATAATCCATCAACAGGCATCTGGGCCATGGTAGGAAATATGAATGTGAACCGTGCATCCCAGACAGTATCGGTATTATCAAACGGAAAAGTGCTCGTTACTGGTGGCTCTGATAACGCTACCCAGGTCAAAGGATCCTATAGTAAGATCATATGGGATCTTGTAAGATCGTATCAGATCCTAGAGTAAGATCCTGGCTGATCTTATATGATCCTATGAAATCGGAAAGACGTCTGCCATCTTAAAGCAAGAAATGACGTAGGATTCCTATTATAGGATCCTATAATCCTATAAGATCCTATAGTAGGAACTTATAAGATCATACAAGATCTTATATGATCTTATTATAGGATTTGATAGGATTTTACATGATCAGCTAGGATATTATAGGATTGCACCGAGTTTGACGCTTCTGTACTCTTGTTTTTACTTTCTTCTGCTATGTTCTCCGTTGTTTATCTGATGTTTCTGGCCGTTATTGTCAAATGTATTTCTTTATTGATCTCTAGTTTAATGTAGTACATAGAAAAAGCACGAAATATTATGCAAGAAGGGAAAAAAGCAATGTACACAACTGTTTTACATCAGTTTTCAGCCAATTAAAAATAAAGAAAATGAGTACCTGTTTTCAAAAAAAATTAAGTTCTCTTTAAGGTACTTGTTTTCAAAAACCGAACACAAAGAGAAAAAACAACTGTTCTCAAATAGAAAAAAAAGTTCTATGTAATTATTGCATGTTCACAAACAAATGGAATTTGATAAAGTAAATTGCAAAATTTCTTTTTTATTATTACTGTTTTGGTAACATTTTGATGTTGATAAATATCTTCATGTACACAGAAAATGAACAATGGTAAAATGAAAAGTAGTACGCATAGATATATATACATAAATATTAATAGATATCTAGCAAATAAGCGTATATCTTTTCTTGCATATGCTCGACATATATCTTGCTGTTCGCTTCTCTCTTTCACTATATGGAGAAATCAACGTTGAAAAATCAGTTCAGCATTGTTTTCATTCACCGTTTTATTCTTGCAATACTTTTTCGAAGACAGCGGTGAAAGAGTTGATAAAAAGAGTTAAAAATTTGATTTTGGATTTAGTCTTTTTCAATTAAGATGAATCTTAGACTTCGGCGTGCTTTCCGCATTCGTTAGCAGGTTCTAACAGTTACTGTGCTCCTACAGAAGATTCGATAAAAAGATAATTTTAAATAATTTTCATCTAAAATTGTGTTTGTGTTTGTTGTCAGCCACTGTAATCCAATTCTGTAATCCTGACCAAACTCATCATTGGTTCTATTCTATTATCAAAATCTTATGAACTCTTATAAAATAATTATATAACCTATCTTGCCGAATTCTTATCGGAATCTTATAAGGTTCTTATATTCCTTCGTATAAGAATCTTATCAATAAATTACGCATTTCCATCGACTGCCTTATATAAGATTCTTATAAGATTTCTATAGAATTGCCGTAAGATCGGTCGACTAGGGAAGTTTTTCTTCTTTTTCTTACGCAAAAACGTTGCATAAAAAACGCTTCATTTTTCTAAGAATGTAAAAGAAAAACATTAGCAGACACTCGAGAATAATGTGCTCTACTTTGTCTGCCGTTTTGGTTTTTTCAAATATTTTCCAGCTGTTGATAGATGGATTGCTGAGTAATACCTCAGTGAACTTCGAAAGAAAACTGCGACAATGAATATTAAAGCCGTTCAGGTTGGCTTTTAGTACATGTTCCGCTTTGACAGATTCAGAGAATTTGAACTATGACATGTGGCTAGGCTCGTTTATTCTTGGACACACGATATTTTTTAATAGTACTGATCTGGGCTTTAATGATTATAGCTGCTTAGTATTTAAAGTCAATATTTTGAATCAGCACGGTGACACATTCTTTGAGACTAAAGCAATGCGTCCTCGTATAACCCTTCAGAAAAAGTATATGTTCTACATCGTCGCGCTGCTCCATATACTGTCGAATGTCAATACGTCATCTCTGGCATCTCTAAACTAATTACGCAAGGACGATTCGAACAAATAACAGATCACCAACTTTTATTTGAGTGTTAAATTCAATATATACGAAGCTACTACTATTATATAATTTTTTAAATTGACACTGAAGCGAATCAATGTAGTAAATCAAGAAAGTAATCAAATATATTTAATTAATACATGAATATGAAAACAGTAACAAAAATAAATTCGTAGATACCACCATCACGAAACGATAATAATGATACAATGACAACAAGATAGCATGAAAAGTCAATCGCATCAGACAGATTTTTAAATTTTCAGTAAGTAGCAGTAAGTAATACAATACAGAACATGACCAAGTAAATAATTAACACAAAAAAACGATAACGACATTTAAATTATTTCTTATTAATTATAAAAACAATAATTTAAAGTAACATATTAAACAACTCAGTCTACTACATTGCTTGCATCATTCGGAGCATTAATGTTTCCTTCAATATTCGCAATATTGTTTGCACCGCTCACCTTTCCGAGCATTGTTCCATCAGCAGTCGCAACGTTGCTTGCATCATTCGGAACATTAATGGTTCCTTCAATATTCGCACTATTGTTCGCTCACCTCCCCGAACATTTCTTCGGGCACTGTTTCGACGATTGTTCCAAATTCATTGTATCGTCCTCTATATGTAGTTGGAATTAGCCAGGAATCAGTCATGGTAATATTTAAGAAACACTTGGTTAGTTTCTTACCTAATCCAGTAGTGCTATTATCTGGAGTTGTATTTCCAGGATTTGATCCAACATAATTTCCTATACCTGGATGAGGAAAGAAAGAAACATAAGAAATCTATGTGCACTAAACTGACGAAGTTTTATATCATCGAATTTCTTCATAGTATGACAAAGAAGGCGCACTTAATAAAAAGGTGTAAATATTCCTTTCAACGTCAAGACTTCCGAAGGAAAACAAAAATGCTTATTAACAAAAATGCTTAATATGCATTAAAAATGTGCCGAAATTCTTAACTTGATTAATTAAAAAAGTGTCGAAACTCTTTCTTGAATATTTCGGAAACGAAAAAACCGCATCCAAACACTGCGTTTTTCAGTGTTTGGGAGTGAAATCCAGGGCACACGAATCTATGGAATCAAGTTGAAAATGTCACCCGAAGGTGGTGTATCTTATCAATCTTTCGAGAGTAAGTCCACGAAGGTTAGAAGTTCCAGTGGATTTTTACTTCTTTTACCATGGCTACACAGACCGAAGACTGCTCTATGGAGCTACTCAACAAAATAGTCCATTTTATTCTGCGCCACCCATTATATGTATATATATGAGGGTGATATATATATATATATATATATTCAAAGGAACAAAGACATAGAGACATAAAGAGAAAAAATCCAGGCAGTGATAAGGATCATGTAATCTTCAATATAGCTATCGGTGATCACAACTGGACGAGAAAAAAAACAGATATATGCATGATCTTAAGTTAAACAGACGAAATTGAAAAAGAAAATGTCAGATAAGAACTAACAGAAAATGGACTATGATCTGTACAATAATAAAAGGTCATGTACATATACATGTAACAAAATAGTAAACTGAATACTTAAGAAAAGAAAAGCACTACAGCTTAAGTCTAGTGTTAGACTTAACAATTACTTCGTCTTGTTTTTCTGAAGATCTCTTCTATAGCCTTCGAACAACAGACAACCTTCCAAAATGAAAATATGGAATATAATCTTCTTTGTACATAATCATCTTACTGTATTATTACAAAATATGTTTGTATTTTCTCAGTCCTCAAGTTTATAAGGTTTTTAGTCTCTAGACAATAAGCTTAGAAGCAACATTCTTTATAAGCCGCAACAAATCCATAAATCCTATTGTTGGCTATGAGACAAAAAAAAACAAACTTTTGAACGTTTTTTGAAAGTAAGTGTAACTTTTATCATTGGTTTTGAACCCCTAAACATTTAAATACTGATCGTGATATCATTCTCTATACGTCAGACAATAACTGAGCAACGTTTTCTAGGGATTCTCAGCAACGATCTTTTACTGGCTCTTGCGGAACCTAAGAGGTCTTAATATTTTTATTATGTTTTGAAGAAAATTTAGTTTTGTTTTCATGTAACTGCAGATTTTGTTTATACGTTACGAATTGATTGTTAATATTTGTTAAAAAGATTGAGAAAAATACCGAAGTGTTGAAAATCAATCTATAACTTCGTGTTATACATCACTCGATACAGAATTGCTATTTCAAAGGTACTGATTATCACTATTAGTTCTTTACATAACTGAAATTTTGTTTTTACTGTCTTGAGGGTTCATTGCCCATATGGTTGTGCATATAGAGTAGTAGAGATGTGTGAAAGCGAGATTTTCTGGTTCTGGCGTCGTGAAGTTTCCAAAATTGGCCCTGTCTCACCCATCTGTAGGATATAGCTTCGCATAGAACAAAAAATCCGCTTGAAAATCCGCTCAGAATTCAATGTTGCGTATTTATGTATTCTAAAATCGCAAAATCTCGCATATTTTCCAATGAGGTTTTATGGATCTTCCAAAATCCTGAGGGGTTTTCGCGTATTTTACATTTTTCTTTCTCACCAGAGCACTTTTCCGTACAAATAATGCCATATTCGGAATCACCGTGAAAAACTGCATCGAATGATGTATAGCTTTATAATTTTTCTGCAGAAATATTTTCGATCAAATTGAATTATAGACTTGAAAGCTTGTCTGCAACAAATTTTCCTTAGGAATTTGCATATTTATTTTAGCAATAGTACACAAGTCTATAAACACATTTTTTATGGGTTTTTCAGAGATCCGGTCTCGAGAAAACCCACAAGGAATTACTTTTGAGTACTGAAAAAGCTCATCATTAGAAAGAGCATATTCGAAAACCTATAGAAGAACGTGTTCATATCACTCCTACAGCATATGTCCGCCTGCTCTATAGAAAAATGC